GAGAGAGAGAGAGAGAGAGAGAGAGAGAGAGAGAGAGAGAGAGAGAGGAAGATCCACCAAGTCTTCTTCGTTGACGTTGTTTGTCTCTTTGAAGAGGCAGCTTTAAGTGTTTTATTTTGTTTTATGGTGGACACATTCACAGATCTGATCTTTAGAGGAGAAAGCTCAGGAAACACGGAACAAGAAACAGAAGTCGTCTTCTGAAACTAAACAGCATGGGTGTCCGGGCTTCGCTCGCCTTCCTCCTTCTGTTCATAGCTGCTGCCAAGGCTGGTCATGGTGAATATCAGTTATTTTTTTGTTGTATTTCATTTTACATCATATTTTAAAGTCATAAAGTTTGACTATATTGGTCTGGATTTAGAACAAGTGACCAAAGATATGACATTTAAGAGCAACTTCTCCAATTTGCTGTATTTCCTTGCTGCGCCTTAACTGCTCTAACGTGTAAAAGTATTTTTCCGTATGTTTCACTCACTGTACTGTGTACTCCTTTCAGTCTGATGTTTTGATTTACTTGTATCTGTCTTGCTACTTAGTTATTTGTATAACTAGTTGTATTTGTGTGCTTTATTGTGGGCTCTTATTTGAGACAATTCAATCTAAATGTATTTAAGACGTTTAAGACGCGTAAGGCCTGATGTTACACACAAAAACTCTTTACACAAGACGAGCCTCAGCGCTCTGATCATTCTCCTTTCTCCCTAAAAGTATTGAGGAAGAAGAGTCGTGATGAAAATGACTAAAGCAAGTACACTGAATATCTGTCCATGTGTTTTAAGGAGGAGTAACATTCTGGAAGGAAAATTTCAAAATGACCTGTCCTCATGAAGGCTCTTGGCACAACCAATATGAATCATTAGCTAATCAATCAACGTATGAAACACAATATAATAGCAAAACCAAAGGCTTATACCACTGCAGATACATGGATGGTGACGGAAAAGAAATAAAATATTATTTCTACGTGAAAGGACGTGGTGAGTAAAAAAACAATCCTCCATGTTAGTTGTCCTCACTGAGCTTTCAGTCAGTTCAACTGCTGATCTTTGTCCTCTAGTGTGTGCAAACTGTTTTGAGCTGGACGCGGCGGTGCTTGCGGTGGCCATTGTTGTGGACGTGGTGGGGACAGCGTGTGTGATGGTGATTATCTACAGGTTCACCAAGAAGAAAAGCTCAGCCGGACCCACTCAGGCCCCCAAAGGTACATACTGAAGCACTTACCGCAACTCTTGTCATTAACACGTTGATTATTCAGTGAGAACCAGCTGCAGTTCAGAAATATGATTGTACGAATCATATTTCAGTTATTTTCAACAGTGGTGCAAAGTACTTTTACTCAAGTACTATAAGAGTATTTTTATTTTCATAATACTTTTTACTTCTCCGTACATGTTCGAGGAATATACAACAAATTAAGATCATTAATAAATAAATATTTTAAAACATGATATATTATTATAATGAATCTGCCCAGAGTATAAAGTCATTAAAATGAGCTCCATGTTCACCAGCTGCAACATTAAAGCTGCAACAAATGAATGCATCACGAAGTATAATCCAGTAATATGATTATTATTATTATAATGATTATTCTGAAATGGGCCATTCTGCACAATGAGTACTTTTACTTGTGGTACTTTAAGTTTGTTTTGATGCTAATGCTTTTTTGCTTTTATAAAAGTATTGCATTCAAGGGTTTTACTTGTAACCAAGTACTTTTACACAGTGGTATTACTACTTGTACTAAAGTAAAAGATCTGAATACTTCTTCAAACACTGATTTTTAAGTATGTGTTAAACTTTCTGGGTGTGAACTAACTTTACTTTACGAGTAAAGAACCGCATACACAACCTACCATTAAAAAACATTCCTTTTTGAGAATGTAAGTGGAAATATCACACATATTTCTGTTATTATCTTCTAGCACCTGCTCACTCAGGAGGCGAGCCTTCACACTATGAAGTAAGTATATGCGCTGCATTTTCAGATGCCTTCACCTTTTGCATTTGTTGCATTCAAGAATAGATTGTCTTCTCCAGGGTGACCTAAAAATGAGTGCAGCGGTAACCTAACCTAACATTTTCTCATCTTACTCACAGCGAAAGAAGCACATTTCCCCAAAACGTCAAACTTTTCACTTAACTAAAACAGAATAATTAAGTTTCCTGAGTGAATATAACGTGCATTATTGAAAATCTATTTTAAGGTATTACTGTGGTTGACCTAACACTGTTTACTTTGTGTTCTGGCAGCCACTGAACCATCACACTCGCGCCCAGGAGCCTTACTCCACCATCAACAAGATGGGATAGAGACAAGGCACCGGACTGCGCCGGGTCACTGGTTTAAAAGATGCACAGACGAAGGCAGATATTCACAAAAGACAAACATGAACATCATTCATTCTCCCAGCATGCTAACTCAGGCTTTTTCTTTCTTGGATTTAAAGGGTCGGTTGACCCATTTTCTCACTTACCCTCAGTATTACGTGGGTTCCATTTGTCCAGGCATGTCACCGTGGTACAACAGAGCTGGATGGCATTTAGTTTGTGGTGCTCACGTATTTAAAAATGATTTTGTAAAACTACTTAGGGACTACTTTCTTCCACAGAAATGGTCAGTAATTACCAACCTGAGGATATTTCTGCAGTTAGGTGGTCCATGGAAAGATTATGCTTATCTTCTTTTTAAAAATTGTGATTTGACAATATAACATATATCCACACATTTGTGTTCAAATAGACTCACAAAGAGGATTACAAATGGGTGTGATGCCAATCTTCATTGTATTTATTGTCACAATAATCTATCAACTCAGCTGTTCCTCTGACCTGAGGCCGTTTTGTTACCTTGACTCCAAGTGCAGTGTCTTGTAACTGACAGTGCATGATTAAAATGTTCAAGTATGAATGCAAACTTGACTGACTAACAGAAAGAAAAGACTCCACGCCTAAGCATCCACTGTGTTTTCTTTGCAATTAAATACTTTTGAACAATTCCATAAAGCCATCACACCGATCCGTATCACACAAGCCCGTCTCACAGGGCTGAGCGGGATACGTCAGACACAAAAGGTTTGGCAACTACTCATGTATAGAATGTTTTAAATGTAATATTTCAATAATGTGAGCAGCACAAACAAATTCCATTGACGTCTACTGTATTGGTGTGGATGCAGAAATGTCAGAGGAAAATAAAACCAAAACAATCCGAGTGGCTAAACACCATTAGAGGTGAGAGAGTAAACAATATACATAATGTACATACGATGTTCTGTTTTTTTACGGTGCCATAGTGGTGTTGATTGAATGATTTTAGTAGTGAGGTCATAGTTAGTGGTGTTGTTGGTGTTTCTATTATTCTGCCTCCTCATGTATGTAAATGTGAAGAACAACCTGAAATTTGGCCTCAGCTAAAAAACGTATAATTGAATTTCCAAATTTTCAACAATGTCACCAATAACGTAGCATCACCAGCTTCGTAAAGTTATAATTAACGGACAGGTGTACCTACTAAAGTGGCCATTGAGTGTTTATATATGTGTAGTGTAGTGTACTAACCCTTTAATATAAAACATTGGCAGAGTCTAATTCATAATAGTGTCATAAATAAAAATCATACTGTCATTTCAAATATAGAGATACAAATATGCCTGTTTTACATATATGCATAATAAGTTAAACTGATGTAACTTATTAAACTTTGTCAGACATTCTGCTCATCACATCAAATCGCTTCGTGTGTTTTCTTTTCTTTTTTTTTGCTTTTTTTCATTCTGATCTAATCTTCTGCATTGATCTCATTGTTACTGCAATGGACACGCGTGTCACTAATAAAAGAACCACAGCAAACACTGTTCTCATTTTCTTCTCTGCTCAATGGTCGGAAACAATACCGAGATGCTTCCACAGATATAAATGAATGTATATGATTCACGAAGAGGCCCCAAAGCCGCAGTACATATCCGTAGCTCACCCACATGCACACAATCACATCATTATGTCTTTTATCGCCAGCGTCTCTCTCGTGTGAGAGACATGCAGCCTTTGAAAACATCTGACACATCTCTGAAAACATGTCTCAATACATAGAGATGAAATAAATGGAAAATGTGTCATCATGTTTTGGCCTTCTGTTTGCACAACTGTTTTTTTCCCAGCAGTGACTGGGCACAGCTGTACGGATGGAAATGAAAGTGGGGAAACGGACGTAATGTTTCTCCTTCATGCACACTACTAATGATTGATAAGTATATTATTCTGCATGCAGCTCCGAGGTGTAGTGTTTAGTGGAAACACTCCCACACTTACTGCTCAGCTATCTTCAGCTAACATCAGCTGTATGTTTGTGTGAGACAGAGACAATGAGGTAGGGGGGGGGGGTCAAACCGTTCCTGCACACAGACCTACATCTGCTCGACGAGTGTATGTGGTTGTGTCAGCGCGATGCATGAACGTGCACATGAGCCTGTGTGTGTGTGTGTGTGTGTGTGTGTGTGTGTGTGTGTGTGTGGGTTGATCAGAGTTGTGTTTCGGAGCCGAGCTGTCTTAGCTTCGTTGCTTGATCTCTCTTCTCTTCCTCAGGTGGAGAACTGCAGTTTGTAGCTTTGTCACAGCAGCGTTAAGAAGTCAGAAGACTCCAAGTAGTGATCAAAGAAGGCGGGGGTTCTCTCCTCCTCCTCTTCTCTGTTACTATTTTAACCTTCTTTTTTTCTTTATCTTCCTCTCTGCTCTGATCTTTACCCTTATGTCATTTTTTGGTAGCACTTTATAATAACTACACACTATGAAGCATTAGTTAAGTATGAGTAAACACTTAATTCATCATTTATAAAGCATTGTTCCTACATTAATAATTCATTAGTATGCAGTTCATAACGACAGTTGTAAATGTTTTATTCTTGATTAATAAGCCCGTCTATTATGTGTTTCATTATTGTGTTTTCATACTTTATAAATGGTGGATTCCCCATTTGTAAATGAAGTATTATATATTTTACAAACCAATTATTAAGGAGTTGTAGATGATTAATAAGATCATTTATAAAGTGTTAGTAAATGATTAATAACTTATTTAGATGTACATTATTCATGCTTTTATATATATAATGGTTAGGGACTATGTTAATATATGCTTTATAAATGCATATTAATACTGCAATTCATGATTAATTCATGATTTATTAAGGTAGTTACTACTCATTAGTAAAGTGTTTTATGTGACCTCATCTAAAGTGAGGACTATTTATGCCTTATAAAGCATTTATTAAGTGTTTTATGTGACCTCATCTAAAGTGAGGACTATTTATGCCTTACAAAGCATTTATAAATGACATTGAAAGGCCAGCAGTGTCTCAAAACAGACAACACAAAGTGATCAAAAACATATTAATATTTATTGCAAGATGCAAACAATATACTGTTAAATACAAACCTCTCATCCATTAATTCATGTAAGAAACAAACAAAGACATTCTCCTTCAGGAGAACATGGCTGTATATAAAACGTTTGTAAATATATGACTGAAACTAACCAGGAGCTTTGCTTTATAAGGCATAAATGCCTTATAAAGCATCTATGAATGCACCAATGCATAAGCAGCCGTTTACTGTGTTAGCTGGTTGAGGTGAAGCTTTCTTTTTATAAGTGGTCACAAACCAAACATGCCATTAGGTCAGTCTTAAACAGAGCGTTGTGGTTTTTTTAAATATATTTTTCAAGTATAATCTTAATCTAAAAAGTTACTACTCATTGTTGTCAAGCTAATGTAGTATTACAAAGCACAATACTTCTCTCTGAAATGCATGGGTGTAGAAGTAGCAAGTTCAAGTACAGCACCTGAGTAAATGTACTTTACTTTCCAACACTGGATACAACATGACAAAACAGCACATTTTGTGTTCCTCAATTATTCATTTTTATTTTGCATCACGATAATTTCAGTTTCGTTAAAATAAAAACTTCATTTCTACGTCATGATACGTGCCGGCTGTTGTAGCGCTCCTCGCAGGATAGGAAGAGAAAAACATAGATAATGAATGAAAATACCACACTGGCCGGTTAAAATGCTACCAAAATAAGAACTGATAAATACAGAAACAGGTTAACAAGTCACTCATTACGTGACGACTGAGAGCGATATTACAGGCATAGCGAAAGGAAATGACAACAGCTAAAATGGTATCATACCATGCATATAGTATTATGGATGAGTGTCACCCATTACACCCTGCTGCAGAGGTTTGAGGTGAAAGGATAATGTGGCGAGTATGTTTTCAGCTGCGGGGGGGTCAGGGTCTATTTTCTCAGCACATCGTACGTGTCTCTGTGGCCTTTCTTCAGAGGCTGAGGGAGGAGAGGTGGGGTAAAGAAAGGGAAGAGAAAAAGTTACATTTCAATTGTATTAATGTGATAATATCATATGCCAATTGAAATTCACATTTCAGCTCACCTGGTAGGTATCATTGGGGCCTCTGCTCCCTTCATTTGGAGTGCGACGCGGTCTGTCAGAGCCTGAGGAGAGATTTATTGATATTATAGATAGGTATGTAGGTAGGTAGAGTTGTAGGGAGGAAGGGAGGTACGTAAATTGGTAGGGAGTGAGGGAAGTAGGGAGGTAGGTAGGTTGTGTTGTGGGGAGGTAGGTGGGGACGTAGGGTTGTAGGTAAGTTGATAGGGAGGGAGGGAGGGAAGTAAGTATTTAGGTATGGAGGGAGGTATGTAAATAAGTAGGTAGGGAGGGAGGTAGGTAGATAGGGAGGTCGGTAGGTAGGGAAGTAGGGAGGTAGATAGGTAAGGACGGTGGAAGGTATAGGGAGGGAGGAAGGGATATAGGTAGGTAGGGAGGGAGGGAGTTAGGGAGGCATGTAGATAGGTAGGTAGGGAGGGAGGCATTTAGATAGGGAGGGAGGTATGTAGGTAGATAGGTAGGTAGGTAGGTAGGAAATGAGGTAGGTAAGTAAGGAAGTAGGGAGGGAGGTATTACTTTTCTTGGGAGAGGTGACTGGACCGATCCGATTCAGAGAAGCAATGAGATAGACGGCCACTCCGATCACAATGGTAGCCACCACGTCTCCTACAACCATTCCTGTTATTGAAGCCGTGTCCAGCTCGACGCAGTTATCACAGGCTGGACACAAACACACAGAGTATACCAAGTATGATTACTGTTAAAAAAATGACTGTACTTAAAACACTGTGGATGCAAATAATACAAGAATAAAAGTACACATAAAACACAAAAACATGCAGTCTTGCTGCAGAACTTACTTCGAAACTTCATAAAGATTTGTAATTGTTGGTCATCCTTCCAAAACGTGTACTCCCCTGTGTTCTCATCTTTGTATTCCAGCAATTCCTCATCTTTAGAATTTATGAGATAATTAGCGGTACAACGCAGCTTAATCCCATTAAAGACTTCGGTCACTACAATCTCTTTGCAAGAAAAAGACAGATTTTAACATAATTAGTTCAAGCATGTAGTCGTTATTATGCAACTAAATGTGACTAATGAAGCAGTCCTCTTACCTGGATCACAGCTGACGGGTGCTGTGGGAGACATTTGGAAAGAATCATAAAATAAACATTGACTTTAATGAAACTGCCAAACAATTTGCTGCTATTAAAATGATTAAAGGGCACTTTTGTAACTGGAACCCCAACTGGTGTAAGATGTTTGAAGGCCTACCTGTCAGCGTCCAAAGCAGCAGCAAACAGGCGGCCAAAACTGATTTCATCGCGTGTTTACTCCTCGGAGTTCTGCTGTTGACGGAGGGAGATATTTGAGATCATCGCGAGTACGAGGAGGCACACAACAGAAAACAGGAAGGGCGCCATTTTCTGCTCACTTGTCAACCATTTTATTTTGTTATAACAGATAACCGATGACGAGAGACGAAACACAGGGTGTTATTTTATGAAAATCATTTTGGCTAATTTGTAAAACAAACTGACTTTGGGATCGTTTATTTTACTTAAGCTTGTATTATTTCTCCTCCATCAAAGCTGGTGAACAACACAATGTGAGTGAGATGAAAATACAGCATATTTGAAATAAAAGTACTGACCTCAAAATACAGAGCTGCCGTGTCCCTGCTGCCAAAGCACCCAGTCTCCGTCTGTTGAAGTGTCACAGTCTGTGTGTGCGTGTGTGTGTGTGCGTGTGTGTGTGTGTGTGTGTGTAGGTGTGTAGGTGTGTGTGTGTGTGTGTGTGTGTGTGTGTGTGTGTGTGTGTGTGTGTGTGTGTGTGAGGGAAGTGAGTGTGATTGGTGTATTTTCCGTTTAAGGCTTTGTTGGTTTCTACGTCTGGAGGACTGTGTGTCTCTGTGACTTCCAATAAATGACACTGGTGGAATAAACAGTTAATTTACTTTCTTACGTACAACAATGACTTTTATTTCCATTTCACGGCGCTTTATTTGGGAAATATTGAACTTCTTGCTCCACCACATTAAAAGCAGCTATCTCCAAAGCACCATTTTACATACAAAAATATTAAGAGGTTTTATCATACGATGCATTGCGAGACTAAACTACTTAAACACTATGAGAAGATGGTTAAAACTAACTCAAAACTGCAACAATAAAGTGCTACTTAGTATATAATATCATTATCTAACAGTATAATACATTAAAGTAGAGTGCTTTTTCTTCTTTCATAATATTTATGGACTTTTACTCAAGTAGTGCAGGACTTTTACTCGTGACGGAGTATTTTATAGCTACTTTTAGTCAAGTAAAGGATCTGAATATTCCTTCCATTGATAATGTCAGAATATACTATAACATTTAGTGCACTGGCAGCGGGGAAGCTGCAGATAATTGTTGATTCATTCTCTGTTCCCTGACCAGGACTTTATATCAAAATATAAAAGTATCACGGTTCAATTTTACACGTGTGTCATGAGACATTTTGTCAAATCTGCTTGCAAATTTTCCAAAAGACACGCGCAGCAATCTGTGAAGGAAAATCTTCGTATTGACTGTGGAAATAAAGTCACCACCAGCCACATATGAGCTGAAACGACTGATCCATGTGTTCACACCGACTGCTACGTGCTCCTTGGTTGCTTTTGGAGACGTGTGGAGCTGCTCCATCTGGAATAAAACAAAAGACACAAACACAGCCATGTGTGTGTGCAGATTAATATTTAAACTCTGTGTGTGTTGTGAATGTTTGCCAGACTGCATTCCCTGTTCAGCACAGAAGAAGCAGCAGAGAGAAAAGGAGAGAGAGAGAGAAGAGCAAAGAGATGTTCCCACAACACAAATCCGCTTCCTGTCTGAAGAAAAGCCACAACAACCTGTGACCTAGAGCTCACACCTGGCTGACACACACAGATACACACAGTCAAACATAAAGACATGCATTATTCATCTCCTGCACCTGCTATTGTTATCAAATTCAACAATACACTCATCTTTAGTACCACGTCAAAAACACCCTCATGACTGATTGTCCTCCATGTTTTCCGGCTTAAAAAGCATGTAAGAGCGCCCCCTGGTGAGCGCCAACAAAAACCACAGCAGGCCCCAACATTTAGTTCATACAATTTCAATATTGTCTTTATTAGACGTCCTCTTTTATACACATATACATATGCATACAAATATACAGTACGTGACTTGTTACATGTCCATATACGAGGACACACTCCATCAATATGTAACCATCCTATTTGGATATTACACGTCAAAAATGTAAAATCTCACGTACAGGAACACTTATCTTGGACTTTCCGGTGGTAGCATAGAACGATGAACGCATTCCAATAACGCGACAGGGAGGAAGACATCATGAGCGTGTGGTTACAGGAGGGAATCATGTCCAAACATACGGAACATGAGCATATTTATGTAGAGTTCATACTTTGCATTGTTGAGACAACACATCAGGGGTGTGCAGACCAGAGATCTTGATTCAGAGAGACAAAAACATCGCCACTTTTGATTTTGTGAACAACAAATTCAAGTTTGTGTGTTGATAATCTGACAGAGGAAGGTTTGTTTCCGGTTCCTCATCATGCTGGTCCAGCTTGAAGGTGACTGATGATTGGTTGAGTGGCTGACTGGCAGTTGTCGGTTATCTCTCGGTACAGCCGCGCGGTTGGAAGTAGTTTTGCATGCATTACGTGTGAGTTTGTGCGTAACTTTGAGGTCAGTCAGAGCCAGACCTCCTCACTGCTTGTGCTGTTCACCTTGTAGATGTAGCCCACCATCGGATATCTGGCAAAACCTGGGGAGCATTCAGAGGGAGCACAAAGGATAACACACTCACTGCTGTTCCCACACCGAATGTGAAGTCACAAAATGGAGCGTATTTGCCTGACCTCTGGCGGCGTAGGCTACAGACAGATCTTCCTCCTCCTCTTCCTTCTTCTCGCCCACACTGTTCTGCTGGGCGGCCTCTCGGGCTGCGGGAAGGACGGAGGACAAAAAGAGATGCGTGGATGAGTTTGAAGGGATGGTTTTGGGGAAAATGTACACGCAAGATAGAGAGATTGAATACAAATCTAACATACAAGAGTGGTATCAATCTTCTCATCTAAGTTTTGGCAAGAAAGCAAAAGTGTTTTTCCCAAAATGTTGAACTATTTAATAGTGACAGCAAGTTAGTACGAGCGTCTCCTTCCTTACATCAATGTACTCATTACATTGTCATTTTATTTAAAGTACTTAATTGCCATGCAGCATGGTCCCAATGCACTTAACAATTAAAAGAAGAAGGCGTAGAACAAAGCACACAGCAGGCACATCAAATAATAACCGTTACAAACAACAGTATCCAGCAACACGTGTCATTTCCCGCTCGTTACATGCATACGGTCTTTTCAAAATAAACTTCCGTCTTCACAGGTTCACTAATTGTACTTATGGCTTGAAAACTTGCAGTATTTGCATATTTGTAAATTGTTGATTGCCACATACAGTCCATATCTATATATTGTATATATACTACATATGCAGATACTAAACTTTCTCTTAGCATGGACTGTACTCAGCCCATGTCTGGCCTCCACTACAGCTCCAACCATCTGTGTGTGAGGTGAGGGTGTTTTCTTAAACTCGTACCTTTTCTCAAAGTGTTGAGGTCGTTGAGCTGCATGTTGGACGGCAGAGACATGTTCTCTCGGGGGATGTAGGTCTTACCAGCTTTCTCTGTCTTCAGATTGGCTGAGTCACTGTTTGGGGAACATGGAGGAGAGATATCCAACTTGGATTAGACGTGCCATTGGTCTGCAGGATGGACATCAAATATTCATTAGAGCACAAAAACACTTTCATCAGTGTTTTCCCTCCAATCCGCTGATGGTGCTGAGATGAAAATGATTAGATGAGAGGCGGTGATAAGTGTGTGATACAGAATCAGCGGTTGTAGAGATTGTAAAGGAGTTTGGGGATGTCCACAAGCCGGAAAACCCTTAATTGACAATTATCAACATTAAATAAGTTTTAATTCTCTACATGCGACAGGTGGATGTGTGTGTAATGCTAAGTCCTTGTTAGCATATTAGCATCTACATTAAAGTCTGAGGAACACCGTCTGCCTGTTCACGGTGTGAGAAATGCTTGTGAGATTCTGATTCGCAATGATTGAATATGTGACGTTTTAAAGGAATAGTTCAACATTTTGAGAAACTTTTTGAAATTTGCTTCCTTCTGAATGTTAATACGAAGTTAAGCAGCTTGTTAGCTAAACTTAGCACAAAGACTGGAAAGGGGGGGGGGGGGCTAGGCGGGCTTGGTTCATAGGTAACAAAATTCAGCAGTTTCCAGTATTATTGCTAAGCTAAGCTAACAGCCCACAGGCTTTAGCTTCGTATTTGATTTACAGACAAGGAGAGTGGTGTTGAACTCGCAGCAAGAAAGCTAATAATTGGATTTTACCCAAAATTTAATATAGATTTCTTTCTTTCAATGCGCCTCCAAGGACAGTGTTAATAGGAAAATGAATATGTTACTTTCTTAAAAGTGAATTTTTTTCTGAACGAAATCAATGCATTTCACCCATTAGTCAATACTAAAACTTAAGAGGTTCTGACCTCCATTTATTGAATTTATTTCTGCTAAGGAAGAAAGGCAACATATGGGAGACCACACATCTGGTAACAAGACAATTACAGCTGTCTTATAATTGAAACTTAACCCCAAATATCACCACTTGGTGGTCAAAAGGAGACACCGTCTACCATAAATCAGTCTACTACGTTACTCGCTCTACTTTCTGGTTCTATTAAGGTGGTTCACACAAATATCCACTGACTGACGTCTGATTATTGTATTCACCTTTTCTTGGTCATCAGAATCTCCACTGGCTCATCTGCAACACAATACAAGGAGATGCTGAGTAAGTGTTATACGCTGCAATGCACAACGCTACAGTCATTGATCTTCCAGCCGAGCTGCTCACTACACACACACACACACACACACACACACACACACACACACACACACACACACACACACACACACACACAAACACACTCTAGTCTCACCAAAGGACTTGCTCTTGTTTTTTTGCATGAGGCAGAGAACAATCAGACTGAGGATGAGGAGGGCCATGAAGGCCATGGCTCCCCCGGTCACTATTCCCAGAATGGGCACCTCCACGCGAGACTGCAGGAACTCTGGAGAGCGAGGCAGAGAGAGAGAGAGAGAGTTAAAGGAATAGTTTGACTGTTGTGAATTGTGCTTATTAGCTTTTTTATGGAGCGTTAGATGAGAGGAATGATACCGCTCTCAGGTGTGATGAGGCAACAGCTATGACGTAGTTATGACTAAGACCTTCTCGGTTTCCCTTTTGCCATCACTGACCTGCCAGTGTGAGGTTGCTCTGCACCGTTCCCACACTGTTGCTGACGTTCAGCGAGATGTTCCCTGATAGATTCCCCAGCGTGATCTTCAGCGTGTGATTGGTCAACCAGGGGTAGCGTCGTGAGTCCAGGATGAGGAAGTCGGAGGTGTTGGCCACCAGCTGGCCGGACTGGTCCACGAAGGTGATGGTGGCGGGCGGGTTGGACCGCACCAAGGCGAAGAGGACCAAGGAGAGGCCGGGGTCTGAGGATTCGCTGTAGTGGGCGTTCAGCCTCAGGACCTCTGGCTGAACTGGGAGACGGAGGAGAGGAAGAACTTTATTCACTGGATCAACAGAAAACAGCTTACCATCCAGAAACATTTGGCACACACACACACTCACACTGGACATTGAGCGTGACCGTGGCATTGTGGCTCTCTCCTGTCCTGGGGTTGGATGCGACGCACACCAGCTCCCGGTCCCACTTCCTGGCCCGCAGAGAGAAGGTGCTGTTGTGATGGGTCCGCGACCTCGGGACCTCAAAATCTTCCCGCGGCGACGTCATCACCAGCCGGCCCCGGGTCGGCGGGGGGTCTCTCTGCTGCTCCCCGTTCAGGTACCACGTCAGCAAGGGAGGGGCGCGGGGATCCCAGCCGTTTGATTGGCAGTTGAAGCCGTGTGTCATGTTCTCCTGCAGTGTCACAGCAGCTCGGTGCCGTCCGTCAATTTTGGCGGCGGGCCCGATTGCACCTGTGAGAGAAAGATTGATGTTCATGTGGATATACAAAAAAAAAAGACCGTGTGGGCAAAACATGACAAATATATATATATAGATATATACCAAGATGGCGCCGCAGATGGCAGCCTCGGTACTGCGCTCTCTCGTACTTTTTCTGTTTTTGTTCATTTGTCTTGTTTCCAGCTCTCCCTCTCTGATCTCATTCAGCAGAGAGGAACTCTTCAACATCCGTCTATTCACTGGCCAAACTTTTTCGCCGCCTCTTATCGAACCAGAGAGTTTTTCAGAGATTTTAGTTGGGGGAGCAGCTGCTCTACTCGGAATTTATCGGAGACGTCGACGTGGGAAGCGAGCAGGAGCGCTCGTTAACCTGCGCCGACGGGAACTGCGCTCCGGTCAATTCACCTGGCGAACGTCCGCTCTCTGGCTAACAAGATGGATGAGCTGCTGCTCCTCAACAAAGCAAACACGGACTTTAGCAGATCCGCCGCCCTGTGCTTCACTGAAACCTGGCTCGGTGAGCACATCCCGGACAGCGCACTACATCTGCCGGGCTTCCAACTCCTCCGAGCGGACCGCGTCACGGCGCTGTCGGGGAAAACGAGGGGAGGCGGAATCTGCTTCTCCATTAATGAAGGTTGGTGTACTGATGTCACATTGTCAAAGGAATCATGCAGCCCTCACCTAGAAACACTTTTCATAGACTGCAAACCTTTTTATTCACCGCGGGAGTTTTCCTCGTTCATCCTGGTCGGTGTCTCCATCCCACCACACGCCTGTGTGTGTGAGGCTCTCCAACACCTGGCTGAGCAGATCACCAACATGGAGCACAATCACCCAGACTCCCTGCTCATTGTTCTTGGGGACTTCAACAGAGCAAACCTCAGCAAAGAACTGCCTAAATACAGACAGCATATTAAGTGTAGCACCAGGGACAAAAACACACTGGACCACTGCTACACTGTCATAAAGGATGCATACCGCTCACTCCCCCGTGCAGCTCTGGGACTCTCTGATCACTGTCTGGTTCATCTTCTCCCGACCTACAGGCAGAAACTAAAATCTGCAAAGCCTGTGGTGAAGACTGTGAAGAGATGGACCAACGAGGCAAAGCTGGAGCTACAGTCCTGCTTTGCCTGCACTGACTGGAGTGTTTTCGAGGCTGCTGCTACAGACCTGGATGGGCTCACTGACACTGTGACATCGTACATCAGCTTTTGTGACGACATGTGTGTGCCGAATAAAACCTTCTGCACATTCAATAACAATAAACCCTGGTTTACTGAGAAACTCAGGCATCTTCGTCGGGCCAAGGAGGAGGCCCCCCCCCCCCACTGAGGCCAATCACCGACTGGCTGATGACCTGAATTGTTTCTATTGCAGGTTTGATTTGATAAGCCCACTTTCACACCCCCCACCTTCAAACAACCACCTACACCCCCTGCCTCCTTCTCACCTCTTCCAACCGACCCCCCACCGGCACTGAGGTTCTGCGAGGAGGATGTGAGTCGGCTCTTTCACAGACAGAAGACCAGGAAGGCACCAGGCCCAGATGGTGTGTCACCCTCCTGCCTGGAAGTCTGTGCTGACCAGCTGGCCCCCATCTTCACACAGATCTTCAACCGATCACTGGAGCTATGTGAAGTACCCTCCTGCTTCAAAACGCTCCACGATCATCCCGGTCCCCAAGAAATCCTCCATCACAGGATTGAATGACTACAGGCCCGTCGCGCTGATGTCTGTGGTCATGAAATCCTTTGAGAAACTGGTGTTGACCCATCTGAAGGACATCACAGGACCCCTGCTGGACCCCCTGCAGTTTGCCTACCGTGCAAACAGGTCGGTGGATGATGCAGTCAGTATGGGACTGCACTACATGCTGCAACACCTCGACTCCCCAGGGTCATATGCAAGGGTTCTGTTTGTGGACTTCAGCTCAGCGTTCAACACCATCATCCCAGCAATACTCCAACCCAAACTCTCCCAGCTCACTGTGCCAGCCTCCACCTGTCAGTGGATCACAAACTTCCTGACTGACAGGACGCAGCAGGTGAGGCTGGGAAAAATCACATCCAGCACCCGGACTATCAACACTGGCGCCCCCCAGGGTTGTGTGCTCTCCCCACTGCTCTTCTCCCTCTACACCAACGACTGCACCTCAGAGGACCCAACGGTCAAGCTCCTGAAGTTTGCAGACGACACAACGATCATCGGCCTCATCAGGGACGGTGATGAGTCTGCGTACAGGCGGGAGGTTGAACAGCTGGTCCTCTGGTGTAGTCAGAACAACCTGGAGCTAAACAAGCTCAAAACTGTGGAGATGACAGTGGACTTCAGGAGGAGCCCCCCAACACTGCCCCCCCCTCACCATACACAACAACACTGTGTCTGCTGTGGAGACCTTCAAGTTTCTGGGATCCACAATCTCCCAGGACCTGAAGTGGGCCTCCAACATCAACACCATCCGGAAAAAGGCACAGCAGAGGTTGTACTTCCTGCGCCAGCTCAGGAAGTTCAACCTACCTCAGGAGCTGCTGATCCTGTTTTACTCAGCCATCATCCAGTCTGTTCTCTGTTCCTCTATCACTGTGTGGTTTGGATCGGCCACCAAACGGGCCAGGAACAGACTGCAACGGATTGTCAGGTCTGCAGAGAGGATCATTGGTTCCAGCCTGCCCTCCATCCTGGACTTGTTCACCTCCAGAGTCAGGAAACGGGCTGGAAAGATCTCTGCAGACCCCTCACACCCTGGACACAAGCTGTTCCAACTCCTCCCCTCTGGTAGGCGCTACAGGGCTCTGTACGCCAAAACCACCAGACACAGGAACAGCTTCTTTCCACTGGCCGTCACTCTCATGAACAATAAATAAGTTATACTGCACTATTACCACCACTTATAATTCATGCCATTGTCTATAGGTTTATGTTCACATGTATATATATATATATACACTTTTTCTCTTGAATTTATATTTATACTTATATTGTATATAGCTAAATGTCTATACCTACATCCGTTCTACTTTTTTGCTGCCCTTTTTTATTCTTTATATATATATATTGTCTTGTTTATTGTAAATTTGTGTTTGTACATTGAGAGCGGAGTGGAAACCGGAGACAAATTCCATGTATGCGTAAGCATACATTCTGAAATAAACTCAACATGTAGTTAGCCTGAACGAAAATGTATCCCTGCATATGAATGACTTTATATGTGTACTGTTACTCCACGCAAATATTACAACTTAAAGGAATAGTTTGCCATTTTTTTGAATAATGCATATTCCTTTTGTTACAGAGATTTATAAGAGAAGATTGATACAACTCTCCTATCTGGCTGTTAAATATGAAGCTACAGCCAGCAGCCGGTTAGCTTAGCTTAGCTTAGCCCAGAGACTGGCTGCCTAAATTAACTAAATCCTCATACCAGCACCTCTAGAGCTCACTAACTCACTAACTAATTTAACTGTTCCCACCTTTATCACCTGTTATTAATGCCATTGTCATAAACATAGGTGCAGAGCAATAATCTTGAGGTCATCTTTGGTTGAATTCCATGAATGCAAGAAAAGGTCAAACAGGTCATGTACGTTACAGTTGCAGAGCGCCTCACCTGTCCAGGACAAGGCCAGTGTGTGAAGGAACACGACAGCAGAGCCCGATGCCCACCTCCTCAGGCATACACACTCCATACTGGCCCGACTGAGCACCGCGCACACACACACATCTACCTGTTTGGAGAAGAAATTAATCAGAGACGGACATCTGTGTCTGAGGATAAAGGTTTTTGGTTTGTGATTCTTGATGGTTGAGATTGAGATGCTGGCCTGCAGAGAGGCAGACAGAGCTACTGAAAAGGAACTTTCAATTCCATGCAATACTGACAAAAACCCAGCTCGCAAGGACACCGACATGCCTCTCACATGTCAATAATTCACCACCTGGCTAGCTTCGACTCACCCCATCACTACAATACAAAACATTCACAGGCCTGCTTGGATCGACAGTGATTGTGTGTACGCACGTACAGTGAGTACAGGGTACGGGGGGGGGGGGGGACAAGTGATGCCTGGTGTTTGCTTGCAATCTGGGTCATGTGATATGTGCGAGCACTCCGGATGAAAGCAGGAACAGTGCCATGAAGGAAACACTCACAATCCCACACATATGTAGATGATGAAGAGACATTCCTGCACACACGTTAGAGGATGTTAAACAGGAATGAAGATGATGGGATTGCACTGACAATCAAAGGCTGCATGCAGGCATTTCAATGCAGAGGTAAATACGGAAAAGTAAGCCCTCTTCATTACACACACACACACACACACACACAAAAACACAGACACAATATTACCTCAGCCCTTTCTGCAGATGCTGTTGTGATTCAGCCTGCTGGAGCTCCATGGCAGCGGAGGTGGAGGAAGTGAAGGATGGCGGTAACAGCGGAGAGATGAGAGGCAGCCCTCCCTGACTCAGTTGCTTTCCCATCTGCGTACACTCACACACTTACACACACACACACACGGCTCTTTGGAGGGTACAGCAGCTCCAGTAGCAGCGTTTACTAGCTGGCAGGGGCTGCTGGCTGACGCAGGCAGTAAGGAGGAGAGAGCGGAAAGGGAGGAGGGGGTGAGTGAGGAAGAGGAGCAGGCAGCTGAGGAGATGGAGAGAAAGAGGGAGAGAGTGAAGACAGAGAGGAAAAGGGAAAGGAGCAGAGGATGCAGAAAGAGAGAGAGAGAGGGAGAGGAGAGTGGGCACAGAGTCGTGAGGATAGAGAAAAAATAAAAAAGAGCCGATGTGGGAGACGAGGCTGGAAGACGAGAGAAGGAGCTCTGTGCAAAAACATCAATCGTTAACAATCTACTACGTGGAACTGAATTGTGGTGGATGGAGGAGTGTAAACTGTCAGTTCATGGGGGATAATTCTCTTCCTGTCATTCATCCTTCCTGTTAATCAAACAAGCATGTACAAGTAACTGACACACAGATGCTCTTCATGGCTCACTGAGACTGAGCTCAATTACTTCAGACTGGAAAAGCCTCTGCAGTGCAGCTGCACAGACCAGAGCAGCAGCATGCAGAGCACTGCAGCCCAAAGGCAGACAAAGGAATCAGGCCTATAGAACAGGTATGTCCTGTGCTAATGACAGCATTTACGCTTGAATTACTCTTCAGGAAATACGGCCATTTTTAGTCTTTTATCCCCTTCTCTCTTGTCCTAAACCAAAACAAAACAACCAAAAAGCAATGCATCTAGTAATAACTTTATATCCTTTTACCGACAAGCATCAGTGGAACAGAGGGTTAGGCTTCATGACTGATGAAACAAGCTGAATATTTAAGACATTTGCATCACTATAATGTAAACAGATACAGATAACATATTGCTGACAGGACTGGTCGGTGCCGGACATAAACAGGTAACTCCTGCTGCATTCAACAAAGGAACCCGTTCACCTTTCACCCCGAAAACATAACAAAAATCATTTGTATCTTGAAAGATTTAGAACTACCGTCAGCTCTCCAAAAGATGAAGTGGAGCTCGGGCTGTGAAATAAAAACATTCATCATCACATTGAAACTAGAGCAAGATGATAAAGAGATGAGCTTATTGAAAATATGTTATCAGCCGATAAGCAACAGGAAGTTACAGGACACAAAGGCCGAAGTAGGCTTGTGGTAATTCAGAAAGTGTCTATTACATTGTTTGTCCACTACAGAACACTGATAAGTGGATTTTTTAACTGTAAAATGTCCCACTCACTTTACATTAACATGTCTCTGGGATCCCGATCGAGACTGTTTATATTATGTTGTATAGAAATCATTTTTGGTTAATTGATTGATTGATTGGTTAATCGGCAAAGAAATGAATCAGGAACCGTGTTGTTTTGTCATTCTTCAAGAAAAAAAAAAAAAGGCAAACATTTCCTGCATTTCTCCATCTTATGAGAGAGTAAACTTAGTGTCTTTCGGTATTTGACTGCTAGACAAAACAAGCTATTTGAAGACATCTCCGAGAAATTAATCATTAATAAAAATAGCTGTGAAATTAGACATCACGTTAATTGCAATAGTCTTAACATGAAATAGATCAACGGCGGCCTGGAACGTGGTGAAAAGTAAAATGTGAAAATGTAAAATCAAAGTGATAAGAAAGAAAACCGTGTTGTAGTCTAACACATGACGTTGTCCTTTATGATTCCGGTAACGTCGTGTTCAAACTGCACTATCGGCGCTTACAAAGCTCCGTCACGACTCTGAAAGGCCTGCAGCAGGCGACACAAAGACACAAAGTCAGGACCTTTTTAAATTAGTTCTTTATTTATATATATTTATTTATTCATCGCAGTTTGGTTGATATTCTTTTTAATCATTGTTGTTGCACTTTAGTATTTTTGTACTCAACAGAAATGAAAAAAAAAAAAAAAAAAAGGACAAAAATGAACCAATAGAAAAACAAAATGAACCTAAGAAACAGGAGCAGAGCTGGCTGAGCAGGGGGGGGGTCTGATCAGGCAGAAGATGTGTGAAGCTTCACCTCTCCATCACCTGCAGTGCTTTCCACTCACACGCTGCTCCTTACCTCCCAAACACAGATCTGAAGCGTCACGATATCAGACAAGCCGGAGCCTCCGGTCTTAATTTTAGAGTTTCTATCCCGCCGCGGGACAAGAGACACGCAGTGTCTTCAATTTCAGCCGTTTCCTCTGCCAATAACTTGCCCGAGTGCTCCATTGTTTTCTCTTTCAGATCTCACTTCTTCTGGCTTGGTGTAAACAACGAAGGAAATCAGATCTGATCTGAAAGAGGAGCGAATGAGAGCTGGAGGCAGGACGGAACGGGGACACAAGCTCCTTCTGCCCAAAGAGACACGGACTCCGCTTTGGGGAAAAGAAAAACAGAAAATGCAAAAATAATCTCGTGAATCCATCCTACTTCAGTGTTAACACTCATTGTTTTAGAGGCTGTGATTTACCACTAAAGCTACTTCCAACTGCTCTGAATGGGAGCGAGTGTTGGCGAAACAGGAAGCGACACGGTGCGAATGAAGAGCGCACGAAAAGTCAACCGCTGCAGCCAGGTGTCGTGAAGTCTGTCCAGTACGGATACATACAAAGTGGAGCTTTATTCTTCGCACCACAGTCTCTTGCTGGCCCTTTATGGACCCAGTGGGTCCTGTACATGGGAGGATAAATAGAGGGTCCAACAAAGAAAACCAAATTTTAAAAGAAGGGCGGTTCTGTCTTCTGCTGTGGTCCGACGTGTGCTATAGCCTCCATCCGACTGCGCTCAGGGCACAGGCCTTAGTAGATATGTTTAAAGGTCCGCCCTCATATTCCTCTGCTGCGGATAAAGTCCAACTGGAGCTGTTCCCTCCTGTGGTCGCCTCCTGAAATGTTTCCCTTTGACGGCTTGGGAGGCGTGTCCAGGTGAATCCAACTACAGGACGCAGGGATCGCCTCCTCCGATCTCCCCTTTCAGGTTTGTGAAGGTGGGGGGTAATAGTAGTTGTAGTTTCCTCCTTGGTTAGCGTGGGAGGAGGGGCCGTGTCCGCAGAGCGTCGTCCGATCAGATGCCGATGTAGTAAAAGGTGGCGGGAGGATCACAGCAGAAAGGCGGGCAGCGAGAGAGAGAGAGAGAGAAGTGGGTTTGTCCGTTTCCACACATGGGATGTTTAGAATGATATGTCAGCTATATTACAAGTTATTCCCTCAGTTTGTTGGTTTTTTTGTGTCTCTTTTTGTCTTTTTTAAGAGCGTCAAGTCTCTGTAGCACCCGAACCGCCCCAGACAAAGACCAAAGCCTGACCCTGTATAGCCTGCCTAACTACCCCGGTAACAGACAACAGGCCCGACATCGACAAGAACGACAGTCACAACATCCAATTGAAATTATACTTTAAAAAAAGCAACACAAAATAATTACTTTCCTCTTATTCAAGTGTCTCGATATAATAATATTAAAACAAATAAGAACAATCTTTTTTCTGAGACAGAAGGAGCACCGTCTCTCTTCTCTCCGTCCTCTTTTGGCTAGAAATCTCACGATTCATTAAAACAAAAACAAAACATTTTGAAGACATCCAAAATAATACAAATGATAAACAATACCAATATAAAAACAACCTCCCCAACAACATCTAAAATCAAAAAATAGTAACAAAAAAAAGAAAGGATTTGATACAGAAATTGCAATAGCGTTCTATACATGGCATCACTGTACAAGGAAAGGAGCAAATGTCTGGTAAAACTACCCACAATGCAATACACTGTCACTGACATGGGAAGGGAGGATTGAGCAAAAGGGGGCATAGTTAGGACTGGGGGGGCGAAAAGCTACAGCATGACAGAGAGCGAGGAGCTGCAAGGAGGTGGAAACAGAGAAGATAGCTTGAACCGAAAGTGCAGAATTACTTAAGTAATCAAAGAACAATGTTGTCTTCCTTGCAACACAGAACTGTTTTTCCTTTAATAATAATAATAATAATAATAATAATAATATTCATTATAATAAAACCTCTTTTACAGAAAACAGTAATAACAATAAGAGTAACAATATTGACCGTAATGCCTACATGGACATTAGCTGTAAAACTGAAGTCTAAAAGAAAATAAAAGAAAAAGGAAATGAACGGCAGAACAAAGAAGAGAAAGAAAAACACAGAGCTGGTTTGTCCTGTGCGATGATGTCACTGAGCTCCATCTTTGGAAGGAGCGGTTTTTGTTGCCCAGTTGGAGCCTGACCCCAAAAAACACACCCGCCACCCGGCCCAAGAAGAGACTCCAGCCCACTCCGGAATGCTCTGCTGCAGGACAGCAGGGGGGGGAGCAGACTGAACCTCTCAGACACCCTTCCCCTCCGCTCTTCTTCTCAGTCATGCGCGCACACACGCACACTCTCTCACACCAAATGTGAATACTTTGGGTTTGTGGCAGCAGTGTGTGTGTGTGTGTGTTTCTTTGTGTTATGGGACTCTATGTTCCTGCAACTATGACTGTAGTAATGCGTTGGCCGATGAGGCACATAATGAAGTATGCCAACAGTTAATAGAAGACAAAAGGGTGAAAGGGGAGGGGGGTTAGGTCAGGGCAGCAGTTGGGCGAGGGGTGTGTGTGTGTGTGTGTGTGAGTGTGTGTGTGTGGGGGGGGGGGGTCGAGTCGAAAGAGGGAGGAGTGGAACCCCAATCTACCCGTGATGGGAGGTGAAAAGAGAAGACAACCTGCGGCAACGAATGCTGGATGTCTGTGCAGGAAATGCTGGCACTTTGACCTTTGGAATCCCGAGGCCCCACCTGTGACCCCCCCACCTGTGACCCCCCCCCACCCTTCTAATGTCTGCACCCCCCCTCACACACACTCCCCCTCTCTTGCGCAGACTGCCCTCCCAAGGACAGATGGAGACAGACAGATGGACGTGGAGCGTCCCTGTTTGGGCAGAGAGCGGTGGTTTGGCGTGATGCTGCTCAAGTCAACACAAGTCAGGATGGCTGATATGGACCGCTGTACACAGGAGACACCCCCTCCTAAGAGAAAGAAGAAACTATTCATATTTGGAAACATGTTACGTCAACTATGACTTGTTTCTTTAAAACATTAGCTTCCTAGGCCACACACACTTTCCTTACAGGTGTGGAAAAGTCTTGAATTTGCAATTTCATATGTGGCTGTTTAGATGTGTTTGCAGCCATTTAAACTAGACAAAAATGAAACAATCTCTCTCTACCGAGCCTTTGCTGCGTGCGGGTACCTGTGCTAGACCCCAGCCTGCTCCATGCTGTACTGCAGGTCAGGGGGTTTGTAGCTGAGGAGCATGTCACTGGTGCAGGAGGAGGGGTAGCAGGCCGCCGCATGGAGCTCTTCTTCCACATCACACTCTGCACGAGGAAACACACACCTTTTACCGATATAGACAAGCACGTATTGAAGTTCTTAAAAGTGTCCTAATGCACTTCTCCTACTGACCCGACTCTTCCCGCTGGCGCAGCTGCTGGCTTCCCGTCAGTGACGTCTGGCTGAGAATGTCCGACATGCGAGCGGAGCTCAGGGCCTTCCCGGCCAACAGGCTCATTCCCGACATGGGCTCCGGCTGATCCTGGACAGAATGTGAAGAACCGTTTTAGACGCAGAAAAAAAAAAAAACAACCTCTGATACATAATGAGCAGCCTCGAGAACTTTGTTTGGATGATTGGGTAATGCTAATAGGGTGTGGACGCCCCAAGAATAGGACTTCTAGATTCATTCGGTCATGCAAACCTTCAGCTGTTATCCTTCTAAACAGTAAGCGAGATGAACCGATACATCACACTCTCCCAATATTCACATGCCACAGAAATGTGAGCTTGTTCCTGCCATCCGCTTTGCATTGCACACTGTAGCGTTTCACTCACATAGGCATCGTCACAGGTCTGGATGGTGTGGTGGCGCTGTAGCTGTCCACGGGACCTATAGGCGTCACCCTGGGGAACTCCTGAATAGCCCACACCATTATGATCAGGCACCTCCATGGCCTGCCCTTGGGGCCTGCACTCCGCATGCTCGGATTCTGACAGAAAAGATGTGGACACTGAATGTACTGTGTGAAAATAAAATGTTCTGTAGAGAGTTTCTTAACAGCTGCGTAAACATGTCTTACCTCTAGATGCTGGAGCGTTCCTTATGAAGCCCCCATGGCTGTGTGTAGGGGAGGTGTAGGGCGGGGTACCTCCTTGGGGGGGCCCCAGGAGCTCATGACCTTCTCCTGCCTTGGCCAGCAGGCCCTCGTGCGGGTGGTTGTAGCCAGCTGGCACCTCGTCCTCCTCCATGCTCTCCGAGTGAGGTAAGGGGCAAGGGGCCTGGGCCGGGTGCTGCTGTGGCTGCACGTCGGGGGGTCGAATCTGGAGGAGGTGGTGATAGTGTTGGCCTCCGGGGGCACTCTGCTGCGCCGGCAGCTCCAAGCTCTCCCCTTGGCTCAGCTGGCGGAGAAGCAGCATCTCTCCGTATTCTGGGGGCGCACCGCCAGGCGGTGTGGGGGTCGCCGAGCACGGCCGGGGGCTGTGCCTCTTCAGCAGGGCGGCCAGGTCTTGAGGCGGCAGCCTGGGGTCGGCGTGGCCCGTTAGAGAGTGGCGGGGGGACAGGAGGCCCTGCAGGGTGGGGGTGACGTGATGCTGCGGGGGGCGGTACTCCAGAGGAGTTGGGGAGAGCAGGGCCTGCTGTAGTGTAGAAGGTGGGCCGTAGGTGGCGTTCCCGACCACCCCGCTCTGGTACTCCTCCAGGCCCGGGACTTTGAGGGAGGCTCCCTGCAGGTAGTGGCTGTAGGCGCACCGGGAGGCGGCGTCGCCGGGGAAGAGGTGGGGATTAAACTGAGTTTGGTCATAAGCCGATGTGAAGCGGCCAAGGCTGCGACTGGAGGACAAGGAGGGAATGCAGGGGATAGTTAGCTACCTGTTGTCTCACATCAACATGCTACCAATCCTCTTCCATCATAGTGATGCTTTCATTAACATCACAGCACACAGACTAGCAAACACTTCAGCTCAAGTATTCACTGAGAGGTGTAAAGATCATTTCCAGAGGATACCTTTTGAGATTTCAGTGTACATTTGAAGATCGTTACACAACCGCTCAGTGAATGCACTGACTACTCACTGACTACTTTAACTGTTGGGACCTCTACATATACTTCCAAAACATTTACGTCCAATCACTCACCCAGCTACACTGAGGTGGAGAATCTATTGATGTCATCTCAGCGAAGTTGGAGGATTGGGGATTTACATTCATTTTTCAATACCAGTAACAAATAAAGTCTTCACTGTCGCACATAAACTCTCTGGCCTGAGCAACAGCATTACTGACTACAGTTTCGAAATAAGACTTTGTAGAAAATCGGCGGACATGGCAGAAATGTAAAACACAAAAAAACAGTGAGAAACAAACAATGATGAACAAAAACAACAAATAGCATCAAGTCTATTCAAAGCGGCAATGTCATAGAGAGAGAGAGAAAAAAAAAAACCTGAAGAAAACAAAGAAAATGGCCGCTGTCAGCAGACAGGATGGGCGGGGTCACCTGTGCGTCTCGGCGTTGTCTGCGCTCAGCTGCTTTCCGAGGACTCGGTGGCCCGGCGTGGACAGAAAGCCGCCCTGTCTCTGTGCTCCACCTCCCAGCTCCACCTCTTGAACCTGAATGGTCACCTGCACAACATTAATATTCATTATTGATCCAAGACCTTTAGAGAGACTTAATTTAAAAGCAATGCGTGCAACCATTGCAAAGTCACCTGCTGTTGTTGAGGTACACCCTGTGCCAACGGTACGGTGGGGCGAGCAGATGCTGCTTGCTGATTGGTTGGGAGGGGGACTCGAGTCAGTGCTGTGGGAGGCGGGCTGCCACTCTGGCCTTGATACAGCGCAGGAGCACCGTGCTGGTACTGCACCGGTGACGGACCTCCTGGAAGAAGAGACAAGTCGGGAGAGGAAAATCTCAAACTTCCTGAAAGCTGGCATCATGACACAGTTCTCTTTTTACCCACTTAAATCCCTGTGGGAATGAGAGCAACTAGATTCCTATTACTACCTTTCAGCTAACTGTTAGGCTTGGTCCCATCTGACACCTTGAACCAACTAACTTCTGTGTTTATGCAAAATAAAGGCAATAAATAACAAATGAAAGGCTAAGCTGTGACTGAAGAGTCAATAACTGTCCTTTGAAATAAGTCACCCATCAGAAGATCATAACCAGTCGAAGATGGACTTATCCCTTCGTTGCCCTCCCGTCTACACCAGCTACAATGTAAAGAAGCATCTTAAACACTCCAGCGATCGCTTCACTAACCGTGCCCTTGCATCATGCCTGCAGAGCAAGGCGGAGGGCTCTGGTCGGGCTGTCTGAAGAGGTGGTTGCTGGGATGTGTTGGCGGAGGGCTGGAGGGCTGGATGTGCAACCTGAGGGAGGACGGGGGAGAGTAGGAGAGGAGAAGAGAAGAGACGGGACCGTGATGTAACACTTCAGTCGATAGCACTGCACCACGGTATCAAGTTCATTGTTCACCGTTCAATAGCGAATGAGTAATACGCCCGTGTGTGTGCGTGTGTGTGTTCACCTCTGGAGCTGGTGGGTTAGGTGACTGGGCTGGCTCTCTCCATGGCCTAAAGACAGACCCTGCAGGTGAAAAGAAATCAAATACGACATGATTTGCCGACGGAAGTGCTCATAAGGAGAGTGCGTGTCCTTAAGAGAGGACTCAAGCTGAGGAGACAAATGAGGCCACAGAGCAGGATACCCAAGCCTCCAGTGAACCAAATCAATAGCACTTTCTACGAAGCTTACATCTTTGTTACCTGACCTTGTAAAGCACTGGGATCATAAAAACAGAGCTCGACCCGTCTTACACGAAAGATTATGAACAGCGGCAAACACCGCTGTAACCACCGCGCACAGGGAGAGCGTAGCTTTGGTATGTAATGACATCTCTGTGACGGCTGTGACGTGTCAGCGTCAAATACCTGGATTTGCTGGTGGAGGATTATTTGCTCTTGCTGGTAGAGGATATGCTGTTGCTGTGTGTGCTCCAGGAATCGCTCATCCTGCTGGGCGGCGTACATTTTCTGGAGCTGCTCACACTCCTGTTGGAAAACACAAGACACGGTCCCCAAATATTAACAACAATATTTAAAAGAAAAAGTAGAAAATTACATTTTATCTGATCAGGGGTTCTTTGAGTGAGTTAACCTCTGCTGCACCCGTGTTAACCCTCTATACACTTGAGAGCAATGATGTTCCCAGCACGTCACTGCATGCCCGAGAGGAAGCACCCGCCGTGAACGTGATGATTAGCCTCCCTCCCTCCGCCTCCCACTGGGGGAGCTAATCCCATCACAGTGAGAGTGACGCGACGTCTCAAGACCCAGCTTGAGGTTTTTTCAAGTGAGAGATATCAGAAAGTCTGGAATGTGTCCGCGTTAAACAACGGTGCTCTGATTGGTTCAGCTTGTTTACACTTTGGACATCACATGATTTACCAACAGCAAAAGATAAGCGAATGGTCTCATAAAACTCTTGTTGTAATTTTGCTCTGTAACTACTTTGTCGTCTGGTCTCACCTCAAAAAAAAAAAAGAAAATTAAAAAATTCTTAATTGTCACATTCTAAGCATTTAGAAGCAGTGAAGCCCACCAACCTCTGAGCCTCACAAACAATCAAACATCTGCTTCTGTGACCGTTGCCCTAATATCTTAATCTTCCCCCAGATGTGTCATATCATGTACACTTCTGATACTTTAAGTCCGACCCGGTGTCTCTTGCAGTATTGCTGGCCGACGAGTAAGCTTTCCTTCCTGTTACGACCCCGTTTCACCTCGCACTTTGTTAAACCATTGCGCTGATCATCAGCACCATCGCAGGATAACACCTGATCCCAGATGAAGGACATCAGAAGCTCCTGAAAGCCTGATATGAACTCGGATCTTATCTCGAGATCTGCGGCTCAGCGCCTTCTGTGTGAGCGACTCAATTGGTTGACATGGTGACCTAAAGTGCATCGCAAACAGAAATGAGCTAACTAAAAATGAAAGATGTGCTTCTTACTGGAGCGTGGCTGTTTTTATTTTGCACTGAATTGTAGCCGAGACCAGAGGAGAGAGCACGAGGGGGCAGAATTAGGAATGTAACCGTATACCCCACACATCTAGCATGTTACTTTCTCAGAGGAAATAGGTGCATCACAGTGGTCCACATCTAGAGAGCGACTGGTGTTGTTCTTGGCCCATTAAGCAGCTTTACAGTGCCAGGAAACTTAAGTTTGTATTCCTGAGAGACGAGCTGCGATGTATCCTTATTTCTGCACTTTTCGCCTTGAGAGCCAAATATGTTGCGCCACTGTTGGAAAGCACCGAGCAGTCCTACTCCTGTAGCGGGGGGGGGGGGGGGGGGGGTAGGGGGGGGGGGGGGGGGGGGGGGGGGGGGGGGGGGGTTAGGCCAAAGGGGACTACAGACCAGGGGGTTGTTGGTTTTGATCAATACACTTCTTCAGAAATGTTGCCTCATTGACTCCTACAGACCCTTAAAAAACATAACTCCATGTATCTCTTCAACAGATGACATCCCTCGGTAGTGAGGAGTGTGGCGTACCTGTTTGAGTTGCTTAATGAGGCTGCTGTTCTCTAGGTGAGCCTTGAAGGCCTGGATGGTGGCGGCTCCGTCAGAAAAGCGTCTGACCGGTGAGAAGCGCTCCATGGGGAGATGAAGCGTGTTACAGTCCTTATAGCTGGACCTGAGGGGGGGACCACAGGGAGCAGACACAGATACGTGTGCACGCACGCACATGCACACGCACACAGACAGATAACAGAGACACAGTGACACACACACACACACACACACACACACACACACACACACACACACATTCAGTGACACAGACACAAACACACAAATGAGAAGCTTGAGCTTTTCAACCGTGCACAAAATAATACAAGTTAGATGAAATATAATATGATATATTGAGTGTAGAACAGGGGTTCTCAAACTTCTGATCGTCGAAAACATTGAGAGAACCACCATCCCAAATAAAATAACTAAATAAACTGGGCTGAATATATATATGTGTTGTGCCTCCGTCAGCTGTAACGACCAAAATAAATATTCTGCTAACCCATCCCCATCACTGCCTGCCATTATGAATCCACATTTAATGTATTCTGCATCATCATGGTTCTCTCCTACGTCACTTCATTGAAAATGTATTTCATGCCCCTGCATTGGTGGGAATGTTGGCGAGCTAACACGCGTGTCTCTTCTGATCATCTGTCGCAACTGACGTGATATTCAAACGTAACTGGTCATTTAATTTAATCATTTTAATATCGACTATTTTTACATTTAATTCTAAAGATAACTAGCTTTGTAAATTACCAAAAAACCTTTGTATTTATATTTAATCCAACCATTGTGCAGTACCTCTGCAGCCCACGAGATGGCTCTCTGAAGCCCACTCACTGGGTTATAAATAGCTGGGGTTACAAACATAAGGAGCCCAAAATTCATGTCCAATGAATCCGGTAGCTCTCCTTAAAATGGTTTCATCCATCCCGTCAATCACGACAGAAGAGTTGGAGTAAAGTTATGGAGGGAATGTTTAACTTTAAAGAGGGGCTGTGACTACAATCACTTCTAAACCCTCGACTCTTTGTCCCAGAAGTCACTGCACCTTTGTAACAGCTGAAGTCAATGAGACAACACATTTCAGGATAATAAATGCCACAGTTGATAAAAAGGGAAGGTACATTATACATACCATAGTTATTCATCCAGTATAGGACATTAAAGGAACGCTTCTTGAGGAGCTTTCTACAAACAAGCTCTTGGCTACTTTTCATTGTGTAGTTAAAAGCACATGAACTACTACTTTGAGCTGGCATTCAGATAGCCAGCATATCACAGCGTCTGCCTCCCAAAAAGTGTTCCATGATCAACAACTTTCCCTCAATGAAGCCACAACTTATTTCTGCCAATGCATCCAAATACAAAAGCACATCTAGCACCTCAAGAGACGTTCTAATCTGAGTTGGAGGAAGATGATACTTATAATAAAGGGACAACAGCTAAACACAAAAACAAAAACACAGAAATATGACTGCTATTGGACAGAAGAAACAGAGGTAATGGTTTAGCTTTGCGGGGTTTGCTGATACAAGACTAGTCTGCTACATCTGAACCGGTGAAATACCTGCTCCTTCCAGGTTTATGAGGGAAACTTTAAAAGGTTAACTGGTGATGTGGCGATGTGTCTTTGGAAGGTGCACAACCTTCCCTTGGTGAGTGCATCCTCACCAATGTGTGTGTGTGTGTGTGAGATCAGCTGTGTGTGCGAGTGTAAGTATATGTGTGTGTGTGTGTGTGTGTGTGTGGGGGTGAGAGAGAGGGGGAAAAGACAGGGTTAATATGCCCCTCATTTAATGCGAGTGTGTGTTTGTGCATATACAGCTCGGAGCGGGCGTGTCCCCTCACCGATTGTGTGTGTCGGGGGCCCAGCCCCCCCTCTGGCGGGGGCCCTGGGGCCGCTGTGACTCTGCCGAGGGCTCGCCATGCGATGTGCTCGTGAGCGTGTGCGTCGTGTGCCGCTTGGAGCGGTTCGCCAGGTACCTGGGCCGCAGGGAGGGGGGGGGGGGGCGGGGGGGGGGGGGGGGG